TATTCTGAAATCTACCTGTTAAATGCTCTCTCTTCCCTCTTTAGAGCCTAGCAGGTTTCCTTTCTTGGGGTACTTATCCCTTTCTGCCCTGCATGATGGGTATTTACATCCTGAACTCATTTCCCTGGGTGAGAAAGAGCTAAAAACACAGGCAGCTCTTGGAGGGTCTTGCCAGATGGATTTAGGCATCACTGCCAGATGGATTTAGGCATCACCACCAGCCCTTTGGGATCTGACCCTTGCTTAACCTTGGCATCCTGGCTTGCCTGGACACCGTAAGCCTCTCAGCTCCTCACACTAGCACCTGTGGTTCTCTGCACCTGGAATGCCCCCAGCAAAGGGTCTCCAGATCCCTCAAATAACTGCTAGCATGACTGAAGCATTTTCAGAATGTAAAATTGCTTGAAAATGCAGAGTAACAAACGGGGCAGGCAGCTGCCCACGTCCCATGTGGATGGATGGTGATTTGAAAGAAAGAGACATCCTTCAATATGCCAATTTTAACCTCGATGGGGTCCTTTTGCTGGGGCTTGTTCCTTGGCTACTGACTGTTTTCCCCCCTGCTTCGTAATGCACACCCTATTGCTTGTTCCTGAAGCTGACCAAAAAGCCTGTAGGAGTGAAGTGATTAGAGAAACTTCAGCTGTTTTGCTCCTTCTGAATGGGCTTCTTTCATCACAAAATGCTATGACAAGGGCCTTTTAAAGCCAGAATATCAGGGGAAGACAAGTGCCACAAAAGCTACTTGCTCTTTGGGTGGGACCGTTGCCTGAGAAGGACTCTACTGCAGTCCTGGAGGGACTCACCAGCCACCTCCTTGCCGGCCTGGGTCCTGTGGAAAGTGGCTGGCAGGAGCTCCACAGACACGGAACTGAAGGGTGTTGAGATGTGAATCCAGCAATCATGAACCTTTTCTATTTTTCTGACTTCTGCATCTTCTTTCGGCCAAGTCGCTACCTCTGCACTTCAGAGGTTTCCAGCTCAAATTAGTATGTATGACCATCACTCATTTGTCTCCTACCTTGGATCAGTCTCTGGATGGTGCTGGATATATTCCAAGGGTGGGGGGTTGAACAGCATTGATTGAAGGTTTTGTCTGTCTCAGGTGCTTTGTAGAAATTTTAATCTTGTAAAGTCAGCCCAACGGGCCATAATCAGTATCTGAGAACTTGTTTGTATTGTGGAGGTAAAATCATTGAGCAGGATGGTAAGGAGGGGAACTGCTGGACCTTTTTTTAAAATCCTTTATCAAGGTTTCTCCTAAAGCAGTGGAAGAAGATGACTCTGGGTTTTTTGTTTGTTTTTGTTTGGGTCTGACCTACTATACCTTCAGGGACTCTTTTAGAACACTAAAACCTTTTGTGAGAAGGTTGAGTTTTCCAAGGCTGGGCTCAATGGTTTTTGTGGCTTCCTTGACTAGGGTACCGCATAAAGGCGTACCCATTACCAATATGGATTCTTTTTCTATTTTTATTTTTTAAATTTTACTTTGCAACGCAAGGGATGGAACCCAGAGCCTCACACATGCTGGGCAAGCCCTGTACCACAGAGCTACCCACTCAGCTCCACCAACGGATTTCTTAAAGGATTTCCCTGTTGGGCACTCTGAACTCCAATGAATCTCGGTACTGTGCCTTTTGATATTAGAAGTTCAGCTGAGAAAACCATGCCATACCCTGGCTATTGGGAATAGAGCTCATCTCTCACACCAAGGGCCTGTGGGGAGCCCAAAACAGAAACCAGGAAGCCAGGTCATGAAAAATGTGTGCATCTTATTTGTATAGATCCGATGACTGACCACACTCTGCAGCCTGCCACCCACCCTGCCAGCATCTCAGCCCGGAGAGTCTTCGTGTGTGGCTTCTCCTGCTGTATCCCCTTACTGTATTCCCAGGACGTTGGGTGACCTCACCACCTTGGGATCATGTGCTCTTTGGGCTTCCCTGCAGTGTTTGGTCTTGATCTTTACAGTAACTGCCTGTGACTGATCATCAGTATGAGACCAAGGCCCCAGTCAATACTGCGCCCTGTCTTCATTTTTTTTCCTTAATTTAGCATAATTTTACAAGTACTGTGTCACTCCCAATAACTGGATCACTTATTGAAGCCCTGATTTCCTATGTGCAGGGAGGACTCTGATTCTTATTAGACTGAAGAATAGCTGGCTTCTTAGTGATTACAGAGTAAAGCCAGCCTATTCTTTTGCATTGTCTCCTCTGCCCAGAGGAAATGTAAGGGAAACCAAGGGGAATTTTTACCTATGATTTCCAAGGCGAAGGTCACCATTACTGGCTGGCTGTTTCCAGAGTGCTCAGGTTTCTGGTCAGTATGGTTTTTGTTGTTTTGTTTTGTTTTGGCGGGGTCTTTGTTCTTGTTTTCAAATTCATGAACAAAAAAAGTTGATGTTACCTTGAAAAGACTTCCCTGGATGCTTTGATGAACTGATTGTTGTTTTAAGTTTCATGATCTGGGAGTCTCTTGCACAGGTCTCTGAGATTTGAAAGAAAGTAAGTAGTAAGTGATCTGTGTCTAAAAGAATAGTTCCGAAGGGCTGGGGATTTAGCTCAGTAGTTCCGGCGCCTGCCACCCAAGCGCAAGGTCCCAAGTTCGATCCCTGGTTCCCAAAAAAAAAAAAAGAATAGTTATGAAAACAGTCTTGGTTGTAGAATTTTAGGAAAGGAAAAGGTGACAAGTTTTAAGAGTAGAAAAGTATTAGAGGATTCTGCTGCCTGCTCAAATTAGATGGCCGGGATCTTACATTGGCCAGATGGATGCTAGACAGGTTTTTTGCTTCTCGTGGATGAAGGTGAGATTGCAAAGGAAGAGTGCTTCTCATTCTTTGCTGTTTATAATCCTGGGCTTCTCGCCACCTAAAACTTGCAGCACAGATATGCAACTGGGACAGAGAGTGGAAAGCATAACCTGGCCCTCTGTGTGCAGTGACAAGTGAAGAAGTGCTGAGCACCTGGGAAGTGTTGGAGCTTTGAAATCACCGCTTGTCAGTATCCAAAGGCCTGTATGGGGGCAGAACCATATAGTTAAGCAGTCTGTATTTTTAGCATGAGAATTTCACTAAAAAAATAAATTTAGAAAGTTTTTATCATGGAAGATCAGTTTTCCTAGGAGCTGCTAACTTTAAATACCATTTCAGATGGCATTTTCTTAGCACTTAGAATTATATTTTAGAATCAACTGAATTTTTAAATTTTGGGATTACAATGTTTAATCTGGAACAAAAGTGGTTTTGCTTCTTTATATACTCTTGTATATAAATACTCTTGTATTTCTGGCAGGAACTTTTAAAAAGTACAATAGTGCTTTTCTTTAAAGATTTTCCATTGAAATATTTATATGTTAAATGTTATATTTTTATAATTTTTTGTAATTTGAAACATACATTTATTTATTTATTTATTTATTTATTTTTGAGACAGGGTCTCACTATGTAGCTCAGCTGGCCATGAACTCACTATGTAGCCCAGCCTGGCCCGCACTTGCTGTAATTTTCCTGCCTTGGCCACCTGAGTGCTAGGATTACAGGCATGTGCTATCACACGCAGCTGAAAAAAAAAAAATCTTACAATATTGTATATTACTTTGAAAATCAAACAAAAAGTAGCCATTTAAAAAAATTAATGTGTGTTCAATATGGAAAGTTTGGAAAATACTATAAAGTAGGAAGAAGGTAATCGTAGATGGTCCAACCACTGTTAATAATTTTGTTACAGTTTGTGTGATTTTCAGAGTTTAGGATTTTTTTTTTTTTGGTACCAGGGATCGAACTCGGATCCTTGCGCTTGTGAGGCAGGCACTGGAACCACTGAGCTAAATCCCCGGCCCCTCAAATCCCCGGCCCCCGAGTTTAGGATAGATTTGAATAATTGATGGTAATTAATAGTTGTAGCTTTCTTCTTCTTCTTTCATTTGTTTATTTTTTTGGTACTGGGAATTGAACTTAGGACCTTGTACTTGCCAGGCAGGCATGGCTCCACTGAGCTACATCCCCAGCCTTTTTTTTTTCTTCCTTACGGGATCGAGGATCGAACTCAGGACCTTGCGCTTGCCAGGCAGGCGTTGGCACCACTGTGCTAAATCTCCAGCCCTCAGCCTTCCTTTTTGAGACAGGATCTCACTATGTAGCGCAGGCTGGCCTTGAACTCAGGGCAGTCTCCTCCCTCAGCCTGCTGAGTGCTGGGATTACAGGCATGTGCCACCATACCCAGCTTTTCTTTTTTTATGTTTTAATCTCTGAAAAGCTGAAGACTTAAAAATAATTAAATCATGAAAGTGAAAAATTTTAAATTGTAATTTCTAAAGTTACAGGTTGAATATTAATATTTTTGCTGATTAAAATATTTACGAAGGCCAAAGATTGATTCTAATGAGCAATTCAATGGATCAGTGAGATTTTTCCACAGGAATGGTAGAGAAACTTTGGCTAAGTTAAGTCACAAGTTAATAGTCACAAGTTAGTAATGCTTTGTTTTGTTTGGAGTACTAGGGATTGAACCTAGGCCTTCACATGTACTAAACAAGTTCTCTACATTCCCAGGCCTTCACCAGGTTTTCTTAAGATGTAGACAACTAGTTTCACCTGCTTTGTATTCCATGAAGGAAGCAGTAACATTGTTAAAAGTCAGGGACTTAGAAGCCAAGGCCAATAGCAAGAATGTGAAAACTGGCACAGAGTGGACCACCCTGTCCTATCAGGGCGCTCTCTGTTATTAGAAAATACAGTATAGCATTCCCGTGTTCAGGCCATAGCAGAGGTCCATGGAACATGGGGTGTTTTAACAGAAGTATTTCATCATGAAGCTGCAGCAAGCTTTCAGCAAAGGTGAGGCTTAGGAAGAGTGCTGCGTGAAATTACTGCAAAAGCAGTTTCCTTCCATGTACATTTTGTGCGCCATTTGTCCACTTTGATGCTTTTCCTCCGCATTATGTCTTGGTCCATTTTCCTCTAAATTCATTCTAACCCTGCTCCAATTTTTTTCTTCCAGTTTAAGTGAGAGCTTTTTCATGGTGAAAGGAGCAGCCCTCTTCTTGCAACAGGGAAACAGCCCTCAGGGCCAGCGGAGTCTTCAGCATCCCCACAAGCATGCAGGTGATGACTCTATATTGCTACTCTTAAATTGGGTCTTCTTTCTGTGCAACAGAGGAGCTTCCATGGTTGAGGTGAGCGGTTTTCTGGGTCTCAAGGACAGAGAAATAATAGAACACAGGTTTGTAATGACTGGTGCTCATAGATGGCCCTGGGAGTTGGTGAAAGCTTTTTAAATCATGTGTCCACTTGAGAAACAAGGTGGCCAGGAGGGCCCTGCTGGGGTGTTAAGATTTCTTGTGCACAGTTTATCCCTTAACTACAGATTTAAGTTACTGTATGGCTTATAAACAAATGCACTCAAGTGCATCATAGCCAGATGTTGTCCCCTGGAAAATAAGTACCTAGAGTGATACATACCTAGTTTAGGAGTCCTGTCATTTCTCTAAGCATATGAAAAACCCTCATTTGGGTATATATACCTAGTGGAGCATTATTTAGCAATAAAGAGCAAAATTTTGCCATTTGTAGGAGAGTAGATGGATTTGGAGATCATCATGTTGAACAAAATAAGCCAGACTCAAAAAGACGAATATCATATGTCCTTCCTAATATGTGAAATCTAAATAAAAATGACAAAGTAGAAGGGAGACTGTTATTAGACAAGAGGAAGGGAATAAGGAGGGGATATAAGAGCAAGTAGAAGAATGGATAGACATGATCAAAATATATGCATTGAAACCCCACAAAAAAATGTGAAACTAGGAGAGAGGGTGGGCAAGAGGGTTAAAAGGGGTGAAAATGATCAAAGTATGTTATGTACATGAACAAATCTGCCAAAATGAAGCCCATTAATGTGTATGACCAGCATACACTAATAAAAAAATGAGAAACAACAACAAAAATCCCAAACCAATACTAATTTTTATAAAAAGTCTTTTATTTACTTTGAGTGAATTAACATTATCCTCTTAGTCATAATGGATAGATATACTGAGCTGAAAATATTAAAAAGAAAAGACAAACCATCATCTGGGGAATTTCTTTAAGAGCCTTTGGCTCACACTCTGAGTAGTCTCTGTGATGATACGTTTTTATTCCGTAGTGGCCAGCTTTGGATTTTGGAATGGGACAGAAGCAGTAGAGCGGGGATAAAACTGAGTATTAATATAGGTCCAAAAGCAAACTAGTAAGAAATGCCTATAGATTGATAAGACCACGTTTGTTAGACTCTGAAACTAAAGGCAATTTGAAAAGAGGAATTCAACAAACACTGGCTTACAAGGGGATCTTTATAATAGATCATAACCTTTCAGGCCAGGCCACATTGGGCTGAATGTCTCTGAGCTGTGAAGGGTGTTAGCTTCCAGAAGAGCAGCAGGCGAAACTATTGAGTGATTGGGGCTGGTGTCTGTGATCAGTTGTTTGCTTTTTGTTTTTTGATTTTTTTCTTAACCTCAAGTCATCCAGCTATGTCTTGGATCTGAGCGCTCAGGTTAGAATTTCATACCTTACTATCTATAGCAAACACCATGGCTCGGTCAGTGTTTTCACATACTGATACTTGTAATCAAGATTAAGGTCTGTTTGAAGCTATGAAAATAATTGTCCTATACAAAGAGGCAGTGTGCTTTGTGGAAAGAGTATTTGCTTTGAAACAAACAGACTTGTCTTCTCAATCCAGTTCTGTGACTTACTGCACAGTCATAATTGACTTTTTTTTTTCTTAAAAGACAGGGCCTTGCTATGTAGCTCAGGCTACTCTTGAACTCGAACCAATCTTCCTGCTTCTGTCTTCCTAGTGCCAGGATTATGGGTGTGTGCTGCCACACCTGGCTCATAGTTGACTTCTGAGTCTTGGTTTCCTCATCTTTACAGTAGGCATCAAATGCCTCAGAAAACACGGAAATGCAAAATTATGCATGTAACATACCAACCACCTGCTAGGTGCTATGTTATATAAATGACTAGTTATTACTACAGTGACTTCTACAGTAGTAAAACTATATATATTATAAGCTTGGCATGGTAGCACATGCCTATAATCCCAACACTCTGGGAGGCTGAGGGAGGAGGATCACAAGTTGGAGCCCAAAGTGAGCAACTTAATTACTTAGTGAGAGCATATCTCAAATGATTAAAAAAAACTCTGGGGATGTAACTCAATGTGAAGGCCCTGTGTTCAATCTCAAGCAAAAAATAGAAAAGAAAAGTAATAAAATTTAAAAATTAAGAAAAAACTATATTCGGAAACATCATTCCTGGATTTGCTAATTGTTCTGCCCCCTTAGGAATTTAGCCCTTGTTCATGACTTAGCTGTGACGCATACAACAAAGTGAGTGCCCAAGCTTTGCTAAGCAAGTATATAGTGTTTGCACTTATTTGGAAAAGTAAGTGCAAAACCATTTTGTAGCAAACCCAAGTGATCCAGTCCCCAGATCTCTTGAATGCACAGGAGGAGAAAGGCTGTGGCTGGTTGGCTGTTTTGCTCCTGAAGCCTGAAAGAGACGTGAACTCAGGAAGGCAGAAAGACTGAGGATGCTCAGCAAATGACCCTGCAGCAGGCACAGACTAGACTTTGTATCAGTTCCTTTCTCCCTAGAATTACCATCAGGTCCCCAGGATGAACCACAGAACCCTCAGTAATCACCATGCGGAGCTGATTACAATCAAGGGTTAATTCCATCCATGGAAAAGTGATTCAGTGGGGTTCAGCCAGGCAGTCAATGGCAAGTCTTTTACAGAGCCTGTACCTGAGGCTTATGTTCTCTGATTGTGTGTGTGTGTGTGTGTGTGTGTGTGTGTGTGTGTGTGTGTGTGTGTCTGTCTGTCTGTCTATCTCAGTGGGGTTTGAATTTCTGTTAGCAGTTCCACATCTCAGCAGATACTCTCACTGAGAGGAGTTACCTGTGTGATCAGACATTGGGGTGGGGTTTGCTTTTGCCTATGGTTCTGAGACCTGGGGTGGATGGTGGGAGACCTGGGTAAGCTAAGAACCAGCCTGGTGGCTAGATGGCCTCATGGCACTGAAGATAGGACAGGTGGGTGCCCTGTAGGTGAAGAAGGAGGGATGAGGAGCCCCATGCCCTTCTTTACCATGAACCATTGTCTCCAGATCATTCCTTACAGAGAGCAGCGCCATTGGAGAGTGTTTTACACTGTGGAATCCTATTACTGGCAACTGCAGATAAGAGGGGCACCTTCCTTTCTTTTTTAAAAAATTTATGTATTGCACAAAGAGCACTTAATGTGAGAACTCTCCACTTAACTAGAGGGGCCAGTATCTACTTACCTGACTCCCCTCTAAAACAGGAAGTGCAATTTTGACATCATCTTTCATTCTGCCTTAGAATGAAAAAAAAATGCATTTTTAATAAGAACAAATGCGATATTTTCATTTGAAGTGTTTGAGTATATAAGCAGTATTGACTCTTCCCAGGGTTCTCATTTGTTCTATAGAGTAATTTTAAAAAAACAGATAATATAGTTTCTTGGGGGTGTTGCACAAAATTGAAATTGGTGTGATTTTTTTTTTTTATGAGTTATTCCTTGCACCTTTTTCCTAATGATCGCTCCATGCATGCATTAAGAAAATTGCATAGCTGGATGGAGTGGTACACACCTGTAACCCCAGCTACTCATTCAGGAGGTTGAGGCAGGAGGATTTTAAGCTTCAGGCCAGCCTGGGCTATATAGCAAGACCCTGCCTCAAAATAAAATATAAAATTAAAAAGTTGGAGATAATGGCTCAGTGGTACAGCACTTGCCTAGCATGCTCAGGGCTTTGGAGTTTGATCCCCAGGATTGATCAGGGGATGGCTATGTAGATGGATGGAAGGAAGGAAGGGAGGGAGAGAATTGAATAAGCAAGGAAAAAGCAGTGATAGGGTTGCATTTGCTACTTACTGATGACAAACCTCAGTTATAGAGGTCCAGTCCACCTGAAACACCACCCCTTCTTCACTTAGCTTGCTTCTGGCCAACTGTGGAGACACACCACCTGTAAAACCCCAGGCTAGAGATGCCTCCTAGACCCTGGAGCAGCTCAGAAAAGTTCAGAAGCCTGTCCTGACCAGGCACAATCACATGTACCTATAGTCCCAGCTACTTGGGGGGCTGAAGCAGGAGGATCCAGGAGTTCTAGGGCCAGCCTGGGCAACATAGTGAGACCACATCTCAGGGGAAAAAACTGTTTTAAAGGCCTGCCCTAGATTATTGCCTTTTTTAAATAATAAAGAAAAAAGATAATACATAGCTTTTAGCAAGAAAAGAACAAAGGACAGATTGTTATCAGACTATTTCTGAGCACCCAACATAAAGCTGACATCTGTAGAGACACTCAAGGTATTTCCTCCTAGGTGTAAAAATACTGTTCTCATGGAAAATGCAGGAGTTTGGGGGGAAAATAGCACTCAGTGCTTTTTCTTTCAGATGTTTTGTTTTGATTTGTTTTGTTTTGTTTGAGACAGGGTCTCCCTGTGTATCCCAGGCTGGCCTTGAACTCATGGTGACCCTTCTACCTCAGCCTTCTAAGTGCTGAGGCACCACCACCGTGGCTTCTTTCAGATTAACTCTTGGAAAATGCCTTACTTCAGTTACAACTGCTTCCCATCCTGCCAAGCAATGTTTGCTTCAACAAAATAACATTTTCTCGAGACTTGTCTGAGTTTTCCAAATTTTGTATTAAAAACACCCATATTGCAGGTGTTTCAGAAAATAAGGGTAACTCTTTGCAGCATAGCTGCAAGCTATGAATCACCCACCTTCCTTGGCACAGCATCCTAGAAGACAGTAAGAGAGATCCAGACAAGAGTTTTTACAATATTTCTCCTGTGGTATAGATAGATTTTCCCTTCAAAATCTTTCAGGTCCTCAAACTCAGCCTCTAGATTTCTTCCTAGAAAGCAGGTGAGTGACTTAAAACTTTCTTCATTGGTCCCACAGGCGACCTCCCCCAACATCTGCAAGTAATGATCAACCTTCTGCGTTGTGAAGACAGAATCAAGCTGGTAAGAAGAGATCAAAGTGGCAAGTTTTTGTTTTAATTGTGAAATTCAGTGGGGAGCCATTCATGAACAGGAAGGGAAAAGGTTTTTACGTGATGATGAAATCTCCTACATTGTTGCCAAGAGCAAAGCCCAGGCTGGGGCGTGGCTCAGCAGTAGAGCATGTGCGTAGCATGTAAAGGCCCTAGCTTTCATCCCTGGCACCAGAAAAAAAGCCAAAGCTACATTTGCTCCATGGCACCCCAGAGGGGTCAGTGGAGGGTGTGTCAGGTCTTTGCGGCCGTCTGTGCTAAATGCCATCTTCTGTCTCTGGATTTCATATGTATGCTCATTTTATATGTGTTGAGTATCCCCTCTGAGCTCTTCCTGGCAGTGCAGGTAGAAGTGAAACCTGCCTCTTGCTCTCAAGTACTTCATGTTTAGTCTATCTTTATCTCTTCCCTTCTTCCTTCATGGAGAGAAAGGGAGAGTACTAAAGTTCGTGGTCTTTTTTTTTTTTTAATACCAGGGATTGAACCTGGGGCTTTGCACTGAGCAGTCTCCCCAACAGTTTTAATTTTGAGAGGGTCTCACTAAGTCACTGAGTTGCCTAGACTGGCCTGGAACTTGTGATCCTCCTGCCTCAGCCTCTGTGAGTGCTGGGATTATAGGCCTGCACCACCACATCTTGCTAAGCTCTTGGTCTTAGTTTGGTGGAGGAGGGAGGGAGGGGAGGGCCGCCCTGGAGAGCGGACCAGTGAGGACATCCCTGCCCAATGCAGGCCGTGCGCTTAGAGAGCGCCTGGGCGGATCGCGTCCGCTACATGGTGGTGGTGTACAGCAGCGGGCGCCAGGACACCGAGGAGAATATCTTGCTGGGAGTTGACTTCTCCAGTAAGGAAAGGTGAGTCTCATGGGATGGTGGTTCCCTTGGGAGGGGGACAAGAGCTGCTACTGAACAAGGTTTCCATGGTGTCTCCCATATTCCTGAGAAATTAGCATGGGATGCATCCTGATAGAGAACAGAGGGTGGTTGAGGCCCTGGGAGCAGGAACGTGTACCATTTCAACTCTCATACACTGGGTGCAGTGTCAGATACAATCTTTACTGTCAGGGAGCTCAGAATGTATTGAGAAGGCTGAAAAGGACATGGTACTTTTAATACTAGGAGCTATAGAAGGGGAGGGGCATCAGTCTATTTTCTGTTGCTATCACAAAATACCTGAGTCTGGTTATTTTATGAAGAAAAAAAGTTTATTTAGCTCAGTGTTTTGGAAGCTGAAAGTCCAAGATAAGGCAGTGCCATCTGTTTGGCCTCTGGTGAGGGTCTGATGGCATCTCAGTGGTGGGAGTATATATAGAAGAGATCACATGGTAAGACAGGAAACCAGAGAGATCCAAGGGTCGGCTTGGTCTTTTTATAACAACTTGCTCTGGTGCTGGTTGAGCATGTGCTTAGCATGTACAGAAACTAACTTGCCCTATGATGCCAGCCTTAATCCTTCCACAATGGAGCCATGATCTAATTACCTTCTACCGGGCCCCACCTCTTAAAGGGTCTGTCACCTCAACACTACCATATCAAGGACCAAGTTTCAGCATGTGGACCTTTAGGAAACACTCAGACCATATGCGAACCATAGCAAGGGGCACCTTAGCCTGGAAACTCCCTGAAGGAAGAGACAGCTGCACTGCATAAGAAGGATAAGCTGGAGTCAGCACTAGAAGTGGGGAGGGTGCCTTCCAGGCAGATGGGCACAGAGGGCACCTTCTAGGCTTATATGGGAGCATGTGCCTGCTGCGCATCACATGGAGCACCTGGTCTGGAAGGGCTACACCACAAGTCCCCAAGTACTTTGGGGCATGTCCCTGGTTGGTGGCTTTTAAGAGCAACTTGCAGTTTCCCAGTAACTGGAGGCCGCCAGGGTTATTTCATGGACCTGTTATGTGTGTAAATAGCTCACTTGACATTTGGGATATACTCATGCACATGAGGTCACTGCCAACCATGGATCTGTGAAAACTAGATCAAAGCAGACTCCTTACTCATCACCATTAATCTACTCATTCATTAAGCAGATAGTTTGCTGGCGTTCTCCTGTGCACCAGCTAGTGGGAGAGCCCAGGAGGCAAAGAAGCAGTAATAAACAGTTCTTGGCCTCAGAGAGATGTCAGCTAGCTCGGAAGACAGCTGTCTCTAGCCATGAGAGTGAGAGGCTCACTCTCATGATGGGGAGACGCCCACACTTCTGTGTGCACACAGTGGGGTGAATGCAAGACAGGAGCCGGTGCTGTTAAGCCAGGTCTTACCGGACCAGTGGGCAGCAAGGCAAATTCAGGGGTGGGGCAAGGCCAGGCAGTGTCTGGAGCAGGAAAAATCCTAAGGGCTGTGAATGGCCACGGTTACGGGACAGCTGTGTCTTCTTGTTGTGACAGAGCTACTCTGAGTCACAGGCTGGTGACCTGGACTCTGTTGCTTGTTAGGACTATGCTTTTGTGGTATTTCCATGCAGGACCTCTTTGCATCATTTGAAAGTTTTCTGTGGCACACTTGGGTGGGTCAGAGTTGGACATCTGTGGTCCCAGGCTGGTTGGGAAGTAAGTGTGGGTGAGTGTGCAGTGTACTGTGTGCCAGGAGGTGAGCTCTGAAGAGCCACTTGGAGGCCAGAGGGCATGGTACATTGTGGTGGGATGCCACCAGGCAGGTGCTCCCAGACACGGTGAGGGCCTTTCTTTGGGGATGGTGAGGCCGACATGTTCTGTGTTTTTTTTGGTACTGGGGATCGAACTCGGGTCCTTGCACTTGCAAGGCAGGCAGCGGCACCACTGAGCTAAATCCCCAGCTCAACACATTCTGTGTTTAGCAGTGTTGCAGCTATAGTTGTTCCTCACATGTTTACCCATCCTGTAGGAAATCTTTTAGGAGCAGAGACTGCTCTCACCACCTGAGTCTATTTAGTAATTGGTTCTGACCCTGAACCGAAATGTGATGTTGATCCTGACTGAAACCTCGTAGGAGTCTAGCCCTCCTCCTCCCAGGCATCTTCTGGCTGAAACTGCAGAGCACAACACAGTTGACCAAACACCCTATGAATATCTCCTTTAATCCTTAAGTACCATGTGGGTGCGGAGCCCTGCCTCTCGTTGTACAAGTAAGGAGTCAAAGCTCAGGAGGCTGGTCTGAGCACCCCAGGGTTGACCCAGTAAGGAGGTGATCAAGGATCTGGGCTTGGGGGGACTCCATATGTTCCTCCCAATATGCTGCAGCACCTTCCCGTGCACCGGCTTGCTCGCCCAGTCATTCATGGATTGATCACATGCATACCTGTTAGCTTGTGCCAGGCACTGCCAGGTACTGGACCTCATAAGGCACAAGAGACATGACCTGTGCTCTCCAGACTGAAGTCACAGTGGGCATTAGATGCACACATATGTGCCCACATTCATTCCTTACCAGCTGGGTTAGATTGGCTGGGCTCCCATTCTCACCCACTCTGACTTGCCCTCCCCTTCCAGCCTTTCTCCTTCTGCCTCCCATTGGCAGAACCTCCTAGCTCAGGCTCTCATGGGGCCCCCTCTCGTGGTGGTCTTCTTGCTGCCACTCCATTCTCTGCCCTCAGGCCAGCCTCTCTGTGTTGAGCTAGAGCCACAGCCTGGCTGCAGGTACCACTCCCAGGATGCTGTAGGTCTCCTGCTGCTGGACTGACAGGGGTGGGAACTGAGCGACCTCCTTGTTGGTAGACCTGATGCAGCTAGCTGTGATGCAGGCCATCTATGCCCAGGAATTATGGGGACACTGACAATGGGTATTCATCTGGAAACAAAGTCCTGGCCCCTTACCAAAAGTCTTTGGCCTACTGAGGCCATAATACTCGTTTTCTTAAATTCATACTGAGATTTTGTTCCCTTAGTCTGAGAGAGAGAGAGAGAGAGAGAGAGAGAGAGAGAGAGAGAGAGAGAGAGAAATGAGCATTGCCCAGAGGTTGTCATTGTGGATGAGGGTGGCCAAGTGCCCTATTAGAAAGAGAGCATTGGGACAATGGCAATTCATGGTGGCTCATACACTCTATGGGAGACCAGGCAGCCACTCCTGGATTTGACTTTTTTAAAAACATCTATTTTTTATTTTTTGTTTTGTTTTGTTTTTTTGAGACAGTGTCTTGCTATGTAGTTCAGGCTGGCCTTAAACTTACTATGTAGCCCAGGCTGGCCTCAAACTGAACAGCAGTTCTCCTGCTTCAGCCTCCCAAGTGCTGGAATTACAGGTATGTGCCACTATCGTGGCTGTGGATTTGATTCTGAGTTAATTTTCATTTCAGATGAAATCTTGGGCCTGGGCCTTTTGGGCCTCCCAGCCTGTGTTCCCTGCAGCTCTCTCTGCCATGACCTCTACTCTTTACTCTTCCTGGCTCAGTTTGTCAGTGCTCAGCTTGGGCCTTTCCTGCTGGCTCACAGGTTGACAGGGCACCCTCCTAAGCTTTCTGCCTTATCAGATTTGAGGTCCAAAGGACACTGGCACCTTCCTGCCATTGACACAGCTGAGTGGTTCCGAGAGCCCTATGAGGCTCAACACAAATTTTACTTTGAAGCTCTACAAGAGAAATACTGGGAGCCCAACAAGACTGGGTAGGACCATGGCGGGGGGTGGGGTGGGGGAGAATCTGCCCAACCCAAGGCTTAGGCCTTGAAATGACCTTATCCCAGACATAAAAGCCCAAGACTGCAAGGGGTCTGCAGGGTGAGCAGTTCTCTGTAAGAGGAGCCAGTTACTAAGCCCCTGAGCTCCCTGTCCACATAGGAGGTGCATGAGCAAGTACAACAGTTCCCAAGGGGCTGGTAAGCAGTGGCAGAGATGTGAGCTCAGGATTGTTGATGGGTGTTAGGCCAGCCCTTGGCTCAGTTGCAGCAATTTGTCACAAGCCAACCCTTTTTTTTTAATGCCCAAAGAATTTTCATAAGAATCCGAGGAGCCCTCTGATAAGCCCTTTCTTTCCCTGTGTTTCAGTGGCGCCAGTCTCTGGGTCAATAAGTATCGTTTCACTGTTAGCATGGGCAAAACAGAACCAGATCCAGCTAGTTTATAAAATGGTAGCTGTATAAAACATAGAAAAACAGAAGTCTGAAAGTGAACTGCAGTCTCCTCTCCGCAGTCACCCCAGGACCAATGAGGCTGGGGTGGCTGCTACCACTTGCCCTTGTACCTCAGCCAGGTCTGGCCCTCCACCAGCATAGCACTAGCCTTCTCCCTGCAGCAGTGTGGGCACTTGGTCAGTTGGTTGCTCCCTGTACCCCAAGAGCCTCTGAATGATAGAGTTACATCCACACACAAAAATATAGTGCAGCCACTTGATGACTCCCTTTAGCACGGTCACCCCAGATCCATGTCTTTTAGAATTCATTGGTGAGTGGTGCCTGCCCAGATAGCCTGAGCATTCTGCCTGTCCATACCTAGCACCCTGCCCCAGGTCAGTGATGCTTGCCTGTGAGGTGGGCAGGTGGGGCGAGGAGACCGGGGACCCATTCGTGGTTGTGGGTAGACACGGACTCTGACATCTTCTCTTCCCACCTTATAGTAAGAGCTGCACAATTGGGATGGTTCTCCGACTATGGAGTGACACGAAGATCCACCTTGATGGAGACGGGTAAGGACATATCTTTCAGAGATTCCTTCGCTGTAGATTCAGAGCCATGAGTTGACGTGGGCACCCTTGGATAATCAGTCACATGTTAGGGGAAGTGGTGTTGTTCTCCAGGAAGTCTCACAGGATGTACATCCTGCACATTCTGTAAGGGGCATTAGATGATGATATTGGTGCAAGTGTGTTGCAGGAGATAAGACTGCAGTGTGAGGTTCAAGAACAGCAGCTCACTGGTTGTCCTTCATTTACTTTCCATTGTCAAGCAACACTCACTGAGTGCTCTAGGGCAGGGCCCTGAAAGTTCACAGATGAGTAGGCTATAGCAGGGGCTCACTGGGAGTTCCAGGAAGACATGCAACTGGCAGGCATAGCAGTGCTCTAGGTGCCATTTTGGGCTTGCAGAGAGGATTGGCACAGTTCAGGCTGGGCAGGTAGGTGAAGGAGAAAGGGCTGTCTGTGTTCTGCATGTGCTTGCTCCCAGGAGAATGTATGGGCACCCTGGTGAATGGGGAGAGGTAACATAGGAAATTGTCCCTACATTGAGGTTCCAAGCAGGTGAAAGTTAAACAGCTTCAGAAAGAGGCCTGGAAAGGAAAAATAGAAATTTAATTTGTTTAGGTGATGGGATTTGGGGAAGATTTTCCCTTTTAAAAAATTTATCTTAAAAAAATGTATCTTCCATTAATGTATTTTCCTGCAATTACAGGAAGGGGAAGGGAGAGGTGGAGGCAGTGGGTGGTCAAGGACAGTTGTGGGAACAGAAGGGATCGTGTCCAACATCATGCTTGCTTCTCTCCCTCTGCTAGACTTTTAGTGTTTGGCAGAGCTGGTCTTGCTGGGTTAAAAACAAGTCTTCCTGATTTGGGAGAAGAGTTTATCAGCTTTTGCCTACGCCTCTGCACAATGTGTGATCCCTCATCAGACAGCTTGAGGTGTACTTGTTCTCAGAGTGCACACTGATTAAAGGCATCTGATTTCTCACCATGGGTCCTTTTCTTTTTGTTTTTCATTTTCAGTGGGTTCAGTGTGAGCACAGCAGGGAGGATGCACATATTTAAGCCCGTGTCTGTCCAGGCCATGTGGTAAGTGGGGTTTTAGGAACTTTTAACTCCTTAGAAATAGTTTTGTAAATGACAACATGAATAGGAAAACTGCCTCTATAATAAGCTTCTTTAGGGGTCTGTGTGGCAGAATACACCTAATATAAAATTTGCCATTTTAACCATTTTTAAGTGTACAATTCAGTGGCATTAAGTGTATTCACACTATTTCCAGAACTTTTCATCATCCCAAACAGAAACTCTGAACCCATTAACTAATAGCTTTTTCTTTTCCTTTCCCCCAGGCCTGGTAACCTCTATTCTTTCTCTTTCTGAATCTGCCTATTATAGGAACCTCATATAAGTAAATTAGACAGTATTTGTCTCATTCCTCTCAGCATAATGCTTTAAGGTTTATTCATGTTTTAGCTTATACCAAATTTTTCCTTATGTGTTTAAAAGCTGACTGATAGTCCGTGGAATGAATGTACCACATTGTGTTTGTCTGTCTGTTGATAGACATTAGAGTTGTTTATACCTTTGGGATAGTGTGAGTAATGCTGTTGTGATCATCTGTGTACATTTATTGGAGGCTCTGCTTTCAGTTCTTTTGGGTGTATACCTAGAGGTCAAGTTGCTAGATCACATGGTAATTCTATGGTAACATTTTTGGAGAATCATCAAACTTTTCCATAGTGGCTATGCCATTTTACATTCCCATCAGCAGAATATAAGTTCCAGTTTCTACATAGCTCTGTCAATTCCTGGGTTATTTTGTTTGTTTGTTTTGGGGTGTGTGTGTTGTTTACTTGTTTTGCAGTAATAGGGATTGAATCCAGGGCCTTGTGCATACCAGGAAAGCACTCTGCCCCTGAGCTGCATCCCCAGCCCTTCTTTTGTTTAGGACAAGGTCTCCCTACTTTGCCAAGGCTGTCCTCGGGACACTCCTGCCTCCGTTCCCAGAGTTCTGGAATTATAGATATGCACCACTGCACCTGGCTATTTTTTTATGTGATCACCACTTTAATGGTTGTGAAGTGGTATCTCGTTGTTTTGATTTGCATTTCTCTAATGATTTATGTTGAGCATTTTTTCATGCACTTTTTACCATTTGTGTATCTTCATTGGAGAAATGTCTATTCATGTCCTTTGCCCATTTTTAAATTGAGTTTTAAAAATTATTGTTGAGTATATATTTTTACATATCTCTGGCTCCTGCTGATAAAATGTCACTTCTCTGTATACTTGCCACACAGAGGGTACTGAGCTTTCAATGAAGGGGACAGCACTCTGCTGGCCATGGAGCAACTGGAGATCCTAAAACAGACATGATTTTTACAAAGAGAAGCAAAAGAGGATGACTAAGTAAAACAGTTTCAGTGTTGTTTCTTCTGTCCCACTGTGCATCCCAAAACCTCCTCTTCAGTTTCTGTGTGAGGAAGCTAACTAAGCCTGTAAGCTGTGATCACAACGATGGGCTGGTGGAGAGGTTAGAAGTTAAATTATTAGGATTTCTCTGCAGTATATTAGTGGCCTTTCTTTTCTGCTGTGAGGCTTCATTGTGGCTCCTACATTCAAGGATACCACAACTTCAGAAATCGATCATAACCCTTTGGAGTTAATTGAAAGAATCATGTAAAGTAACATGTGAACCAGCCTATTTGGAAGAGTTATGAACTTTTGGGGGTTTGTTGTTATCTTTTACCCCTTTGGAAATGGTGAAGGCTGTTCCACCTGCTATGGACACAGTTGATGCATACATCCTAGAGTTTAGCTCTGAATCCTGGCAGCTGTGAGTTTTGGGCTGCCATGTGTCGCGCGCGCACACACACACACACACACACACACACACACACACACACACACCCTTGTATATAAGCATGTGAGTCCTTCATAACCCTCCCACCTTCCCTATGTCAGAGGGAAACCCAGCACCTCTTGTGCCTTTCCAGGCCTGACCCTCACCACCTTTACCCCCAGGTCTGCCCTGCAGGTGCTTCACAAGGCCTGTGAGGTGGCTCGAAGGCACAACTACTTTCCCGGTGGTGTGGCACTCATCTGGGCCACCTACTATGAGAGCTGCATTGGCTCGGAGCAGAGCTGCATCAACGAGTGGAATGCCATGCAGGACCTGGAGTCCACGCGGCCCGACTCCCCGGCCCTGTTTGTTGACAAGTACGTGTGGCATCCAACTCCCCAGCCCTGGGCCTGACAAGGGCACAGCTCTCGAAGAACCTTGACTGAGCATCACGTTCCCAGAGCCAGTTTATGACACCAGGTTATCACCTGGGGCCCTGGGACACCCTCAGCTACTCACACAGCCCATTAAAAGTTAGAGACAAATGATGGGTATGTTTCTGGGAAATAGGTCCCTAACTTCCATCAGACCCCAAAGGGTGTGCTGTCATGTTTTTCACCTGCTCTAGGCAGTGCTCTGTGTTTGGGCCTTCCCTTTGCATGTTGCCAGGGTCTTAAATTTCCAAAGCTTCCCTCTCTGCTTCTAGGAGACTGGTCAACATGGTCTCTGCCTTTTTAGGTACCTTGATCCAAAAGGGAGTCTGCCTTTGCAGCAGTGATAGTGAAGCGGGTGGCCTTTGTCATGTGGTCACCAGGGGCACTAATGTAGCCTGAGGCCATGCTCTTCAGAGTTTAGTTTGAGAGGTAGGAAGGAAGCTGTTCTCTCTGGGTCAAGAACCTACTCCCCAAGTGTTCTGCTGGAATACTTTTTTTGTTTTGTTTGAGACGGGGTCTTGCTGTGTGGTTCAGGCTGACCTTGAACTCATTATGTAGCCCAGGCTAGCTTTGAACTCTTGGCAGTCCTCCTCCTGCCTCAGCCTCCCAAGTGCTGGGATTACAAGTGTGTGCCACCATGCCCGTCTTGGGACAGTGTTTTGTTTTTGTGGTTTTTTGCAGTACTGGTAATTGAACCCAGGGCCTTCACACTGAGCTACATCCTCCTCCCTTTTTAAAAGAAATGTTTTAATTAGGATCTTGCTAAATTGATAGGTTGCCCACGCTGGGCTCAAACTAATGATCCTCTTGCCTCAGCTTCCCAGAGTACTGGGATTACAGGCACGCACCACCATTCCCGGCTGGTGCTGAATTGAAGACAGCTGTGGACAGAGGGGAAGCAGCCCAAATGATGGGAAGCCACATCATTCAAATATGCAAAGAAATCACGAGAAGATGTGGCAAGAAGTGATGTTGCTCTAGATATATGAAGGGGAAGGATGGTCCTGTTCTGTGTGACCCTAGAAAGGGCTGGTATGTAGAGGTTATAACAAAGACATAAATATTGATTCTGTATGAGAAGGACATGACAGGAGCTGGACCCAGGCAGGACTGCTTAGGACACAGCAGCAACTGCATGTGTGGGCATGTTCTGGAGAGACTGAAGGGCCTAGTATTTTAGGACATTATAACAGGCTGTTCCAGTGCCCCACCCCAAGAGACTGATGCTGCAGAGCCTGAACAGGGAGTGAGTTTCCAAACTTCCATCTGTCCTCTTATCTGCCTTCCACTCTGTGGCACCTCTTACAGGAACTAGACATGAAGCAGGCATCCATACCTTTCCCAACCCCGGAAAACGGCGCACCGGAAGTGGGCTCTGTATGCCCTAGCCAAACTCCACCACACCCCAGAGCAGCCAGTATTTCTGTGGCCCCTGACCTCAGGCATCCTGTAGTTCTGCGCTATCCTAAATGTTCTTTTTTTCCAGGCCAACTGAAGGCGAAAGGACTGAACGTCTCATCAAAGCCAAACTCCGAAGCATTATGATGAGCCAAGATCTCGAAAATGTGACCTCCAAAGAAGTAAGAGGACTCTTGCCCTGGTAGCAGACCAGGGGTCAGAGGGTATACATTTGTGCAGCAGAAGCAGGCCTCACCAACACAGGTCATCTCTAGATCTGTTCATTTTCTTCTTGTAGGCTTTTCTCTGCCTCTGAACAGTGGCAGCAAGACTTAGTGGAAGGCACACAGGCATTGGAGTCAGACTGTAGTTTGTTTGTTTGTTTGTTTGTTTTTGGTACCAGGGATCGAACTCAGGTCCTTAGGCCTGGGGCAGGCGGCAGAACCACTGAGCTGAATCCCCAGCCCCAGACCGTAGTTTGATTCAAGAGCTGCCACTGCTAAAACTGTGAAACCTTAGACATGTTTTTGCCCTCTTTGAACCTACCTCTTTGACCTTTTGTGACAATTCTATGAGGTACATAGGTTGCACCAAGAAGCATTTATCCCTTGTCCACACATCACCCCCCCCACACATACACACACATGCACACGCACCCATGGAACTGGGAATTGAACCCAGGGAATCTACATTCTAGCCCTTTTTATTTTTAATTTTGAGATAGGGTCTCTCTATGTTGCTTGGGGGTGGACAAATTTTTTCTTTAACAAATCACTTTTTCTAACATTTTCCACTTTGCAGATCCGTAATGAATTAGAAAAACAGATGAATTGTAACTTGAAAGAATTCAAGGAATTTATAGACAACGAGATGCTGCTTATCTTGGGACAGATGGATAAGCCCTCCCTTATCTTCGATCACCTTTATCTTGTAAGAGGCATAGCCCAGTGGTATCTGTTTTGGGGATCATAAATCAGACCTTGTTGTTTGGAGCGTGCAACAAGTGAGAGAGAAAAAGCTTGACTCATTGGAGCTCCCACCCAAACTCTGTTGGAGCTCCCCTTTCTGACCACTTCTCTGGCCTGAAGCCTGCTGTTCTGCTCTGGCATCAGATGTTAGAGATGCAGCTCAGCTGAGCTGCAGGGTTGTTAGGAAGTGGTTTGGCATAGTTAGCTGGTATGTGCTTTCAAACCCTCACAGCCCTTGGTCCTCTTCAGCCACTAACAAATAGGCCCCATCCAGTTACCTCCAAATGGTTCATGGGCCCCAGGGCCCCAGTTACTAACATCGAATACCCACCAAGTCCCAGAATTGTGCTCAGGCATCCAGAGACAGAAGAAACAACAATGCAGACAGATCGCCAACCAAGGCTGTCCACATGGCTACTCCTGTGCACTGTGTCCAGAGCCCACTGGAGAAGTCCACCCAGGTCATGGAGCTCTAGGCAGGTTGGGTGGCTCTCTGCACCTGAGGTCATGCTATCTTCACACTGTAAATTTCTATAGAGGGCAACTGGTAAGACTTCAGAGTCAGAGACTATAACAGAAGGCATGTTACTAAAAGTAGGTGGGAATCGAGGCCTTGGGGTGGAATAAAAGTCAGACCCAGCAAGGTCAAGTTCCTGTGCCTCTGCCTCACCTGCTCCAGGATTTGGAGCAGGCCACTCTGCCTTCCTCCTGACTTAACCGGATGACTATGAGTATTATAAAATACACATTGAAGGCACTGAATGCAGGGTCAGCAGGTGCTGTTGTAAATGCTGTGTGTGTGACTTGGGGAGAAAGTATGTCCTGGAAGTTGAGGTCTTGTGTGGGCTGCTGAAGGCAGGGACGCTTTGCTTTAGCCTGAAGGAAGTAAGTACATCCTCCAGAAGTCTGTGCTGACACCTCCCAAACTATGTGTTTTGATGCACTGATATGTGTACTTCTACCTGAATGTATTTCATATTTACACACGAAGATGTATATAAACGTGTGGATTTGAAGACTGTCCAGTACCTTAAAAGATAACGCAGGGCATGCTGGGCACTGATCCTGTCCCTGCTGAAATCCACTGGAAGGCATCTCCTTCTGCCTTCTCCACTACGTGGTGGTCACAGTTAGAAGGTGTTCATGGCTTTCTTCGAGGAGTGTTCCAGAGATAGATAGGTGGATGAATGGATGGATGGTTGGATGGATAGAACAAATATATATATAGATATTTATTTATTACGTAGGGGAGTTGGTTTCTGTGTCACTTTCCATGAGTGCTATTAAAGGAATTTGTAGGGTTGAGGCTGTCAAATACGCAAATGTGGTCTGCACTGCACACTGCCAGCTTGGTCAGAGCCCCACAGCACCTGATCCGGCAGGACCTGTCCGCTTGGGAGAACTCAGGAAAGGATGGCTGCAGAGAAGCTAAGACACTTCATGTCTTTACCCTTGGTGATTCTACCTCAGTCTGCATTTCCTAAGAGCAAAGTGATTGTTTTTGCTTTGTTATCCCTTCCATATTCTTTGAAAGTTCAGGAATTGAGGTTTGTTGTTTTTTTTAAGGATTTCAATTCTTAATGCATTAAATTAAAACATGTAGAAGGTTGGAAATATAAATCAGTCTAAAGGAGAAAAACACCCCCAGTCTCACACACCCAGTGGTAGTCACTCTTAACATTTTGGTTTATTTATTTTCCCATCTTCTGTTTTGTGAAGTTTTTTTGTTTGTTTTGTTTTGGTTTTTTTGGTACTGGGGATCGAACTCAGTCCTTGTGCTTGTGAGGCAGGGGGCAGAACCCCTGAGCTAAATCCCAGCCCTGGTTGTTTTGTTTTTTGGAGTGTTGTAAATCAAACCTAGGGCCTTGCCCATTGGATTTTTTAAAATGATTACATAGCTTTTTTTTTTTTTTCCGCTGAGACAGGGTCTCAATGTAGTTCAGGCTAGCCATGAACTTGCAGTGATTCTTCTGCCTCAGCCTCCTGAGTACTGAGATTACAAGCATGCGCTATCACACCCAGATGGTTACATAACTTTTTAAAAAAGAAAGAAGCCAAGTGTGGTAATCCTAGTGCTATAATCTCAGTGCTCTGGGGGGCTGAGGCCAGAAGAGCACAAGTTCAAGTGCAGTCTGGGCAACTGAACTTCTTACGAGACCCTGTCTCAAAATAAAAAATGTTTAAAAGGGCTGAGAATGTATTCCAGTGCAAAGGCCCTGGCTTCAGTCCCCAGTACTGATAAAAAAAGAAAAAAACAAGAAATAATCATATTCTTTGTTTATGTACTTTTGTACCCTGCTTTTTTTCTTTTTCCTCATGTGGTATTTCCCTGTGCACCACTAAATAGTCTCCAGAAAGCTGATTTATTTTAATGACTCCATTATAAGGATTCATCCTCATTTATTTTACTGATTTCTTCCTGTTGGACCTTTGAGTTGTTTCCACTATTTTATTATGAATAATCATAAACATCCCCATTCCTAAATCACTATGTGAATTCTGTTATTTCCTCAGGATAGCATTTAGTAAGTGGAATTATTGGGTCAGAGGGTGGGAACTTTTTAAAATATTGCCAGAATATTTCCCAGAAAAGCAATTCCCATCATGATTAGTGATGCAGAAGTTGCCAGTCATTGCCTCTGGTGACCACAGACCTAGGAAAGGACGTAATGAGAAGGGAGCAGGTTTCCCTGGACTTGCTCTGCCCACAGGCCCTGAGGCACCTGCCTGAATGCCTGCGCTTCCAGTTCTCCCTTGTCTCTGAGGGCAGGGCTGTGAAAGGAGGCCCGACCATTAGGGCTAGCGTAACCTATGCCTCCCATAAGCACCTCTGAGGCTAACTGTGACACTCACGGGGGTTTGTGTGATCTGTCCCCCAGGGTTCTGAATGGAATGCATCCAATCTGGAGGAGCTGCAGGGCTCAGGGTGAGTCTGCACCCCTTGTCTTCCCCTGTTCTGGGCAGCTCAGGAGCCCTGTGTTCCACCAGCCATGGAGGCTGAGACCTTGGGCTGCCTGCCTCTGATTGCCCACACCCAGGGCACCGAAGTGGCTGGAGGAGCTGATTTGCATAGCTACACAGATGTGCTTCAAAATGCCACATCCTGAATAGTTCACCGGTTTTGAATTTTCCTTGGAGTCCTGTGTGATTGCGTGTGCCAGGAAAAAACTTTCTGAATTATACATGATATGAGATGGCCTAGATCTGACAAGACTCTGAGCTCCCTCCCACCACCTCATTACCCTGTGGAGTTTTTGGGAATCCTAACATAGACTATGGGCCATTTGGCCAGTCAGCAACCCTGAAAGCTGGACCACTCCTGGCCCTTTCTGAGGCTATATTTGGACCTGGTGGGAATCCTGCAACTAAACATTCAGTGTTGCCAGAATCATATGCCTGTCTATGAGAAATAAATGCTCAGCAGCAGGAATGAAAAATGTGTAGACCTTCAAGAACAGATGTCTGGACTTTTTTTTTTTTAAACAACATAGCCACAAAATCACCATTCTGTGGGTCTCACATGATGGCATTCTTGAATTACTACATTTGAAAACCAAGACTAAACAAATCTTAAAATACATCTTTGGAACTACTGGTTAAGAAGTGTCCTTTCAACAGAGTATTCAGATATGTGGTGCTAATCTGTATGCTTCAATCATGGAGGGAATAAGTAGGTGATTTTTAAAGGTATCTTTTTAATGTGTTAGAAGAATTCACTTATGAAACCTGCGTGAGATATTTTTTAATTCCTAAAATTATTTTAATCTTCCACAAATAAAAATACTGGTTAAACCAGTCATGGTGGCCCACACCTGTAGTCCCAGCACTCAGGAGGCAGAGGCAGGAGGATCGCTGCAAGTTCAAGGCCACCGTAGGCTACAGTGATTTCAAGGCTAGCTGTTTGAGTACAGACTTTGTTGTTGTTAAGCCTCTGTATACTTTTTTTCTTTTTCTGTTTTCTAGTACTAGGGACTAAACCCAGGAAATACTGAGCTATATTCCCTGATTTTATTTTTTTATTTTGAGACAGGGTCTCACTAAATTGCCCCAAGCTAGCCTTGAACTTGTGATCCTCTTGTCTCAGCCTTCCAACAGCTGGGATTACAGGCTTGTGCCTGTAATACCTGGCAAACTCTCTATACTATTGGTAGTTACAAAGTTTGAAAGTTGAAGGAGTTTAGAAATGTGTTTATGTAACACTCTTATTTTCTTAGCAATGCTTAGAATTGAATTCTCTCTTTTATAAGGTTTTTAAAGAGTTTTTTGATATAAATATAATACGTTCTTATCATGGAGAGGGAATTAAAAAACTATTCAGGGAAATGAAAAATTCCACTACAAATGTACTCTGTATTTGTGTACATTATAAAATTTCTTTTCCTCTGGCAGTTTTTTGTTACTTTTATATTTTAGTTCTTCGTTCTGATTCTGCTTTTTTTTTTTTTTTCTTCTCATTGCAGGGTTGACTACATTTTAAATGTCACTAGAGAAATAGACAATTTTTTTCCTGGCTTGTTTGCATATCACAACATCCGAGTCTATGATGAAGAGTCCACAGACCTTCTTGCCCACTGGAATGAAGCATATCATTTTATAAATAAAGCTAAGTAAGTGGACTGGAAGCTGGTCTGAGGAAGACACTGACTGGCAGGCTGGGTGGCAGAATGAGTGACAGTCTCAACGGAGAAGTAGGCTGGACAAGAAGGCTCTGAGGCCTGGGGATCCCAGGCTCCAAAGGGGAAAGGGCATTGGTGTTTTGGGACCCTAGAGCTTGTTCTCTCCCATCTGCCCTTGATTGTGACATTGTCCCCAGATTTCGTCCTCAGCCGTCTTTCTTTCCAGGCAAGGATCTAACAGCAAGGGACCCTGGGGAGCTTCCCATAGGGAGGTGCAGGGCCAAAGGAGGCCCCATGGAGAGCCAGCACACAGGGCTGAGAGCTCTTTGGGGGCTGCTCCCCAAAGAATATGGGCCTTCTCCTCCTAGGTATTACAACGCTCCTGTGCACCTAGATCTGGACAGACCAGAGGTGGGGGCTGGCCCGCTGCCCCTGGGCCCGTCAGTGGTCACACCCATCTTTTGTTTCCTGTGGAACAACTGTCTTACTGAAATCTTGAACAGGAAGAGATAACCCTTTCAATTCTATCAAGAGAAACACCTTCCTTGTACGCTGTAGGTCAAAGCCACATGGTGTGTCCTTACCAAAATCTCTTCTTGTTCTCGGGCTTTCCTGGGACTCATACTCAGGGCTCCCTTGATGGAAGCTTCAGTAGGGGAGAGGGTGAGAAGCACAGCAGTTTGGGGAGGAATTGCAAGCCTCTCGGGTATAGGAACCTGGCGCCTGCTCCCACCTGATGGGGCACCCTCCCAGACCAGTACAGTTGCTGGGGTGCAGCCTGGGGCTCCTCCGCGTTTACTGTTTGTGGAGTCATTGTGCCTGGCCAGTACCACCTCCTCCAAGGTAGCAAATTAGCCCATCCTCCCAGGTCTCTTTCTGCTGTGGCTGAGCCAGGGCTGCTGTCATTCTTGCTCTTGCCCCTGGGCCTTGGTCTCCCCAGAGCCTTGCCTTTTCGCTTCAGTGACCCTGTTTTCTACAGTAGCTTATTCAGCGTCTCCATCTGCTGTAGCCGCTGAGCAGCTTTTGTAAAAATCCCTTTAGTTGCCCAGTTGCTGCCCGAGAAAGGGTTACAGGTGACCCAGCCTTTCCAGTGACTGGGAGGATTCCCACTTTGTCCCTGAAGGCAGCCACTGCCTTTTGAAGCCATGCTGCAAAGCTGGGCTAAACTAGGGCAGATTTGTCTTGATTTCCCATTGTTTGCTAATTGATTTCACAGCCAAGTTATTTCCTTTAGAGGGTGAGTGGAATCTGCTCCATAAACATTAGGACATAGGAGGATTTGGGCCAGGAGATAACTTTGAGGCTTAAAAAAAATTGGTAAAGCTTGAACACTGAAGTTATTGAAGACTAGTAATCCTTTCCCCCCTCAAACTACTCCCACCTTACAGGAGGAACCATTCCAAGTGCCTGGTTCATTGCAAGATGGGTGTCAGCCGATCTGCGTCTACGGTCATCGCTTATGCGATGAAGGAATTTGGCTGGCCCCTGGAAAAAGCGTATAACTATGTGAAACAGAAGCGTAGCATCACACGACCCAATGCAGGCTTCATGAGGCAGCTGTCTGAGTATGAAGGCATTTTGGATGCAAGGTGGGTGCCTGCCCCTAGAGACAGGTTGGCGGACTGAGCTGGAGGAGCCCAGTGGCAGAGCCTGCCAGGCCACCCGCAGTGTCTCAGCCTGCTCCTGTTGAGCCTGGCAGCAGCTTCTGCAGCTAAAAGCCTTTCTTTCAGGGGAGCTGGTTTGAGAAAAATAACTATTGTTTGGGCTTTGATGAGTGGTTTCCAGGAGGGATCTGTTTTGATTCTGTTGGCACACACATAAAGCTCGTTTTGCTGCTGGAGGGAAAAGTGCCTAACTCCTCATCAAGGCCTGACCTGGTGTTTGGTGTGGGCATGTTTGATCCCATTTCCTGAGCACCTGCTTTGTGCCTAGTCCGGTGCACAGGCTTTGTGGTGGTGCAGGCCAAGGAACAGCAGAGGCCACCAGCAGGTTCCACCACAGACAAGCTGGAAAATCACTCGGGCCTCAGTGCCCTCTTCCAAGTGAAGAATTCACACCCACACCCACCCAAGGGTCAAATGCTGCAGACACTGGAAGACAGAATGGTGGTCCCTCAAAAAAGAGTGAGCAGTTGAGCCAGCATTCCCACTTTTGGGTGTATATCCAAAAGAATTGAAAGCAGGGACTCTAAGAGACATTTAGGACACACCAGGTCAAGTGTGGCACATACATACAATAGAATGTAAAGGAAGGAAATTATAGCTGCGCATGATGGCACATGCTGGTAGTCCTAGCTCCTGGGGAGACCAGGACAGGAGGGTCGTTTGATCCCAGAGGTTCCAGGCAAGCGTGGGTAACATAGTGAGACCCCTATCTCTTAAAAAAAAGATGAAGGAAATTCTGTCATGTGCTGTAACTTGGATGAACCTTGAGACAATAACGCTCAATAAAATTATCCACTAACAAGAAAATAAATACTGTAGAACCTCACTTATATTCCTAGAATAGTCAAATTCAAGAGACAGAAAATATGATGGTGATTGCCTGGGGCTGGTGGGGAAAAAGCGAGTTAGCGTTTGATGGGTACACAGTTTTAGTTTTGCAAGGTGAATTACAGAGCTAGGTGTCATGGTGCACGCCTGTAATCCCAGCACTCTGGGAGGCAGAGGCAGGAGGAGTCCAGCCTGGGCAACTTAGTGACTTAATAAAACCCCCTCTCAAAATAAAAAATAACAAGGACAGGGTATGTAGCTCAGTGCTACAGCCCTAGATTCAATCCCCAGTACTGAAGAGAAAAAAAGTTATGGAGCCACATTTCCACAATGGCTGTACAGCATTGTGGATGCTCCCCCACCCCCACCCCTATACCGGGGATCGAACTCAGGACCTTGTGCTTGTGAGGCAGGTGTGGCGCCGGCCCAGTGGATGTATTTAAGATTGCCAAGGTGTACTCTTAAAAGTGATCAGGATAGCAAGAATGGTACATGTATCTAACCACAATGAAAAGCTAAATCAACACCCACCTAATAGGGGTGTTTTGAGATTTGCATAAGCACCAGACAAGTTTATCTTATCAGAAGCTTTGCCACCTAGTAAGTAGCCAATAAATATAGCTGCTAAAATCACTTAAATCCCACCCCAAAAAGGTCTGCAAAGTACAACCCTTCCCGCCTTCACAAGGTGGATAGGACACTGACGCTGAGAGGTTACCATGTCCCACATCACACGCCCCTCTGGATGGCAGGATGGAGATGGTGTTCCAGGGAGGTTGCCCACTGAGGGTGCACAGGTGGGAGTCCCTCATGATACTGGGAGGTCCCACTGCAACCAAGACACCTGTAGCTCAGGATACTCTCCCTCTTGCCATCCCGTTCAGCCTGTCAGAGAAGCAGGCCTGACTTGGCTTATTTCTGACCCCAGTTGGAAAGAAGCCAGGAGCTAAATCCACTAGCTTCTTGGCCAAGTTTGGGAAAGCAGGAGTGCCCTGGCCATATTGAACAGGGTTCAGAGAACAGCCCAGGACATCTCTGGACTCCACTGTCACTCGGAGAGTCGCTGGACAGGTCCCAGGCAGGCCCGGAGGAGGAGGAGGCCAGCGTGCATCTTACTCTCTCCCTTTGCCTGTCAGTCACTGTTGCCTGTCTCTCCAGGGCTCTCTGGGCCGGATTCACAGAAGCACGGCACTGTGACCTCGAGTCACAGCCCGATGGACATCGTCACTTGGAGCACACAGTAATAAGTACTCGTGATGCTCCCTTGCACAGGAACAACACACCCTTGATTCGTACTGCTTTGACTCTTCTCGTCTTCACCCTCACACTCCCACCGGTTGCTCGCACTCTAATGTTACTATGATGTTCAGGGCGTAACTTTAGTTACCGTACTTCACTATTAGCCTCTCTCTTTTCCCTCTCCCTCTCCTTCTCCTCCCCTTTGTCTTTCCCTCCCTGTCTCTTTCTTTTATTTTCCTTACATTTAAAAAATATATTATGAAAAATATATTACATTTAAAAAAATAATTATGAAGCTCGGAGCGGTAGAACACATCTATAATTCAAGCACCATGGGAGGCTGAGACAGGAGGATCCCAAATCTGAATCCTGCCTGGGCAATTTAACAACATAGCGAGATCCTATCCCAAAAATAAATTTTAAAAAGGGCTGGGGTGGGGCCAGGAATTTATCTCAGTGGTTCCTCTGCCTGCCTCGCAAGTGGAAGGACCCAAGTTCGATTCCTGGTACCAAAAAATAAATAAAAATAAATTAGCTGAGTGAAATGGGTACAGAGCCTGGGTATAATTTACCCATAGAGCCACTGCCTAGCATGGATAAAACCCTAGGTTCATTGCCCAGAACGGAAGGAAAAAAAAATAATACAAGAAGAAACGATTTAAAGCTGACCTGGGGCCAAGGATTTAGCTCAGTGGCGCCACACCTGCCTGGCAAGCGCAAGGTCCTGAGTTTGATTCCCGGTACCAGAAAAGAAAAAAAAAAGCTGACCTGTTACCTCTCAGATCTAAAGAAATATTTACAATTTTCTGGGCTCTTCCAAATTAGTTATATTAGTGTATATAGATCTTTACATGCTTTCTGCTTTGTGCATATGTGTGTGAGAGAAAGAAAGAGGGAGACAGGGTCTCGCCATGTAGTTCTGGCTGGACTTGCACTCACTATGTAGCAAAGGCAAGCCTCTAACTCAACAGCAATCCTTCTGCCTCAGCCTCCTAAGTGCTGAGATTACAGGGATGCACCACCATACCCGGTGTGCTTTCTGCTTCGATCCGATTAATTTCCCTGTAGGATAGGTAGGAGAGGATCATTATTCTCACATGACAGATGGAAAAATTTAGAGAGGTACATCAGTAATGTGACCGAAGTTCACACAGTGAGACAGGACCAAATATTGAGATCCATACCACAAATCACAACTCTCAGCATATCTGCAATGTTGTCATCACATAAAAAAATCAAGGGGTGGGGATTTAGCTCAGTGGTTCCACTGCCTGTCTTGCAAGCATAAGGTCCTGAGTTTGATCCCGGGTACTAAAAAAACCAAAAAATCACATAAGGCTTTCACAGCTGGGCACAGTGGTGCACGGCTGTAATCCTAGCACTCTCGGAGGCTGAGACAGGAGGATCACAAGTTTGAGCCCAATTGAAGCCAGACAGCAAGACCCTGTCTTAAAATTTAAAAAAAGAAAAAGGGCTGGGGATGTAGCCCAGTGTGAAGGGACTGGGTTCAATCCAGTCATGCAAAAAGAAAAAAATAAAGGAAAAAATCATGCTGAGTTTCTAGTGCAAGCCATGATTTAGGGCCCTAGGGTTGTGGTTTTTTCCTACCCATGTGTGCTTGGAAACAAGTGAACCAAGGGTGCCAGAGCCCGCTCTGGCTCCCACCTGACTTTGGACTGTCCCTTGCTTGCCCTCCCCCTCCATCCTCCCACCCCGACCTCTTGCTGGGACCCTCTGGTGCTGTTCCTCCCCGATCACTTCCTTTCCCTTTGTCCCCACAGCAAACAGCGGCACAACAAACTCTGGCGCCAGCAAACAGAGAGCAGCCTCCAGCCGCCTGTGGATGATCACTCGGAGCCCAGCGACTTCTTGCCAGAGACCCAGGACAGCACCCCAGATACCCGGCCGCCCTGCTCTGATGATGCCTCCCACCCTGGGCTCCTAGGAAGCCCAGCCCCAGGAGGACCTGCTCTGCCCTGCTGTTTCCAGAGACTCTCAGACCCCCTCTTTCCTTCCTCCGACAATGACCTTGGTGGCCTGGTCCACCTGGAGGACCTTGAGAAGGATGCTCTGTCGGAGGATGCGGCTCAGGCCGAGGAGGTGCTCAAGCTGGCCAGGCGAGCCCAGGAAGGTGCTGGACTCTGTGAGAAGGACGTGAAGAAGAGACTCGAGTTTGGGAGGCCCAGAGCCCACAGTGGCTCCTCACCACAGGTGGAGGAGATGGAAAGGGAAGAGGGCCCAAGGTCAGGGAGGTGGATGCAGCCTGTACCCCAGCCTGACAGAAGCCCACTCAGCCGGGAGAACCTCAATAACAACAACAGCAAGAGGAGCTGCCCAGATGACTTCGAGGTAGGCCTGTCACCACGTCACCTCCCTGCTGCTGCTGAGCCAGGGCTGCCATCTCTAGCCCCCTGACCCTCAGAGGGACTGTGCGGGCTGATAAGGTCTGTAGGGAAGAAACCGACACGTTGCTTTCTTAGGTAAGGTAGCTCCCTTTTTTTTCTTTTTCATGACGTAAAGCATGAAACACCTGACTTCAACCAGTATCTGTGTGTTTCCCCTTCTACTTCCCCTCACCTAGGACAACTTTGCAACAAATCCCAGAGGTTGCATTGTGTTCCCAAATACCCCAGTATGAAACATGACACAGGACCATTACCAGCCTTTAAAAGAGATGGTATTTCCTCAGTGTTACTGAGTATCTCGTCTTCCAACTTCAAGTCATCTCTGTAGCTATCACACTCAGTGGACAGTCGCAGTAAGTTTAGTGTCAGCCTTGTGCTTACTCATTGCCACCTCCTGTCTCCCAGTGTCACCATCGGGAAGTGGCCTGGGAGCAGGGGGCTGACTTTGTTGTGGGCAGCCTGCTCTCAGCTTCTGCCCCTGCTCTGGCTCACCAAGGCCTGAGGTGAGGAACTTCATGTCCTCTGGGCCTTTCTGCCCACCTCACAGGACAGCTGAGACCCTGGGGACACTGGCAGGCACACTTAAGTAGAAACCAGTTTGTAACTACCGTGGCATTACAGTGCAAACAAAACTGGGAAGTTCATTTACCAACCGCCAAGTCATAAGATGTATTCCAAACCAGATGGTAATTAGTCATGGATTTTCCCACTATTTGCCACTTCCCTCAGAGAGCAAATACCCATAAAGACAATAACATAAAACTGCTTTGTGAGGACAGTGGTGTGTGGTTAGTCCAAAGAGCATGACTGTGAGTCACTGGATGGTGACCAGGAGAGGGGCTTGGACAGCAGGAGAGGTTAAGGTCTCAACCTGTCTTTTTCCACCAGAATTAAACTGAATGCATGACATCATTGAGGGAAAAGAACCTAGAGACAAGCATCCTTTTCTGTGTCCAGCTTCCATTTATGAACCATGCTGTACCAGGCTGGCTTGGGGGTGTAGCTGTGTGTCAGCCCCACACATGTGCAGTGTTATGGGGCAGATGGAGGGCAAACACATGAGGCTGTAGCAAAGAAGACAAATATGGCGAGCCCTCTGTGCAGTGACAGACTATGTGACAGGAGCTGGTGAGTGCAGGACAGAGAAGCAGCAACGAGGGCCAAGGAGAGCACTGTAGGCCGAGAGCAGCAGGTGCCAGGCCCCTGAGGACAAAGAGACCTTGGCATGGGACAGATAGGAGCTGGATGCCACAGTGGGCAGCAGTGAAAGGTGCAGTTGGAGAGGTGGCCAGGGCATGCAAGTTCTCCCTCTGTGTTGGGAGGGCTGTGTGCCTTGTCCCAGCCATTGGGGAGGACGTAGAGGCTTTGAACCTGGTGAGGTGAGAACACAGGCCATGAGCCTGAGGTGACCGGGACACAGAACATGGAGCGAGGACAGAAACATGCTGCTCAGGAGAATGAGGACCCAATCCCCGTGCCCCTCCTGCCTCTCTCTGCCCTCCATTCCGCCTGGGCCCTTCCCCCACTTCTGAGCCTGTGTGCTGTTCTCCCTCTGCTCCGTCAGCACTTGCTTGTTCCATAGGTGTCCATCCCTCCACAGAGCTCCCTTCCTTAGGGACTGAGCACAGCCCCCTCTACCACACTTTTTTCCCAGTCCTGGGGACTGAACCCAGAGCTTTCATGCTGAGCTACATCTCTAGCCCTTTTTTTGTTGCTGTTTTTGTTTTTGGTGTTGTTTTCCAGTAAGAGGGGTTGAACTAGGGCCTTTGCACTGATCTACATCCCCAGCCCTTTTTATTTTTTATTTTGAGACAGAGTAAGTTGGTAAGTTGCACAGGCTGATGTTGACCTTTCCGTCCTCCTGTCTCAGCCTCCCAAAGTGCTGAGATTACAGGTACTTCTCACAGTTTCCTGACCTATTTCCACCAGTGGGCAGCAGGCATCTCCTGGAGGTTGGGTAGTGTCTTGTCCTTAGCCCTAGCACCTGATGCAATCCTGGTTCTGAGCAGGCACACCATGAATCTGGCCGAGTGAAGGAATTCTCTGAATGGTGTTCTCAGAGCCCCACTGTGCTCGATTTCAGCTCAGGTTTTAGAAGAAGCAAACATGAAGGACTTTGGTTAGAGCTTAAGAAAAATTTCTACATGGAGACTTCAGGCCTTATAGGGTTCCATTGATTAGAAAAGACTGAGGTCTGACTGGAGAACCCAGAAGCTGGTGCCAGGGTTCCTGACTGAGAAAAGATCCTCCAGAAGACCTCACTCCCACCACCATACACCCACCTAAGCCTGCCCTCGCCTTCCCCTGCAGCCTCCAGGGGTCAAGGTCAAGTATCCTTTGGACTTCTCTAGTGTTGGACTAAATACCTGGGGAGACTCAAGTCACCGACACAGGGTGATGTTAATCCCTGGGGGTCAAGGAATAGGGGCACCACTCAGGCTCCCCTTGCAGGGAATATCCTGAGAAGCCTGCATCAGCCCTTGGCCTGGAAGGCATTGTTCCAGACCAGCTCCAGAATCACAGCTAGATAATTCGCAGTCATCTCCCCTGCCTACCCTTTGACAGTCTCCTCTCCATCACACTCCACCTGCCAGTTAGCCCGCAAGGCCCTGAAGAGGTGCCCTACCTGGCAGAAGCCCAGGGGTGTGGACATACGTCCCATCTACTTAGACCCCGGTGACCAGAAGGCAGGGTTTCTTTGGGAAACAAGGCAAGCGTGTTTCTACTAGTGTAAACCCCAGCCCAAGCTGGCCCTCTGGTCCAGGCCTGCAGCCTGTTCTGTTTAGGCCTCCGGCAGACTCTTCCCAAAAACAGTTTGTCCGTTGCCACCTCTTTTGTGGAGACCAGAGCTGGGTGACAGTTCAGGAGCCGTGCTGTATTCATACTGGATGGGGGGCTCTGTTTTCAGGCTGTGGACACTCCAGTGCAGATCCTTCCTGCCAGAGAGAGGCCCCCTTTCTCTGCTTCTGTGACAGGAATGCTCTCATTTCTTTCTTCTAGTGTGGTGATCTATAGGGGTTACCTTGCTTTCCAGATGAGCCTGGAGCAGGGTTACCCTGTGCAGGTGGCAGAGGCAGGTTGGCAAGGGAGATCTTGGGAGACCCTGCCCTGACCATACTGACCTTGTACCAAAGGTTTGCCTGGGATCCCGAGTCTTGGTTTCTGGAATGTTTGGTTCGGTATTTCTTAGTCCTCTCTAACCTACACTGTGCATGTTCAGGTGGGTTCCAACAGGTCACTTTTTCAGAAGTAATTAAAGGAAGGCACCTATCCCAGGCTGCACACCCTGCTCATTCCATGGCCCCCATGTTTTTCGTCATTGGCTCATGAGTATACTGTCTCCCTGTGTTCTTGTCCCCTTCCAGCATGATGCCATGTTTGCGATCCTCACCAAAGTCAAGCCTTCCTACAAATCTTGCGCTGATTGCATGTACCCTACAGCCAGCAGGGCTACTGAGGCCTTCAGGGAGCAAAGTGAGGACCCCAGTGCTCCTGCCATCTGCACCCAGCCAGCCTTCCTGCCCCACATCACATCTTCCCCTTTGGCCCCTGTATCCAGCAGGTCCCATGCTCTGGAGAAGCCAGCCTCTGGCACAGCCGACACGCCCCTATTGCTGTCACCCACAGCCTCAAGGAGACCAGAGAGTAGTGGAAATTTGGCTGGGGCTGTCCCAGAGCCACCACCTAGCCTTCCAGAACCTTCCAGAGAGACTCCAAAAGTCCTGCCCAAGTCCCTCCTGTTGAAGAATTCTCACTGTGACAAGAACTCTCCCAGCCTGGAAGCGAAGGAAGACTCATCACCCAAGAAGGAGCTGAAGCCGGCTAAGGACCTGAGGCTTCTGTTCAGTAATGAGTCTGAGAAACCAACAACCAACAGCTACCTGATGCAGCACCAGGAGTCCATCATTCAGCTGCAGAAGGCAGGTCTGGTCCGCAAGCACACCAAAGAGCTGGAGAGGCTGAAGAGCCTGCCCACAGACATGGCGTCCACCAGCAGGCTGGAGGCCAGCATCCCCGAGGAGAGCCAGGAGTTGGCCGTGCTCCAGGAGCCACAGCCTCTAGCTCTGCCTGGCCAGGCAGGGGGTGACGAGAAATCAGAGGCCACCCCCCTGCTGTTGGAAGGAGCCTTGCTGAAGAGCCCTCCACCCTTCCTCTCCCGCCTGGACCACACCAGTAACTTCTCCAAAGACTTCCTGAAGACCATCTGCTACACCCCCACCTCCTCCTCCTTGAGCTCCAACCTGACTCGGAGCTCCAGCAGCGACAGCATCCACAGTGTCCGAGGGAAGCCCGGGCTGGTGAAACAGCGGACCCAGGAGATTGAGACCCGGCTCCGGCTGGCAGGCCTCACTGTCTCATCCCCACTCAAGCGCTCCCACTCTCTTGCCAAGCTGGGAAGCCTCAACTTCTCAACAGAAGACCTGTCCAGTGAGGCTGATGTATCCACTACCGCTGACTCCCAGGATGCTAAGTGCAGCAAATCTTCCTTCTTGAATGAACCCCAGACCACCCAAAGGAACCCAGCTGCAACCTCCAAGCCATCAGGGAAATCTGCCCCAGAAAACTTGAAAAGCCCCCTGAGGATGAGCAAAAGCTGACCCCCCCCCCCCCCCCGCTTCACTGGATTTACATTTTCATTCAGTCCCTCCCTTAGTTTCACTGTGGATTCTAGTCCATCCCTTACATCTTGATTTGTCTTAACCAAAGTCATCCAGCCTTTTCTCCCTTTTGACATTGGAGGAAGAGAAACAAAAATAATTTACAGCACAAGAAGAAGGGAGAAGTACCGCTGTGTGGCCTGGAGATCCAGGAACTGTCAGCCAGTAGACACACACTTTGTCCTGTTTTTGAGACAAATCGTGTACTAAAGAACACATACAGATAGGCTCACATCCAAAACACTCCATTTGCATCATGCAGAAGAGGCATGGTGGTGACATCATAGCCACGGCCCACGTTTCATTCTGGCCTCTTAGGAAAACTCTGGGATGGCAACATGAGTCCTACCTCTGTTCTTACTGTGCTCTTTGTGTTTTGTTTTTGTTTTTGTTTTTTTTTTTGGTACCAGGGGCAGGGGATCGAACTCTGGTCCATGCTCTTGCGAGGCAGGCAGCGGAACCACTGAGCTAAATCCCCGGCCCTGCTGTTTGTTTTTAAAATATAATAATGCCCAAGACTTGTTCCAGGGAATAATGCTGTGTCAGAAAGAGTTTTTCCAAACAAGGTTTTTTGTTTTGTTAGAACCCCCAAAGTGTCAGGATGTTCAGCTTGACTGCACCAAGCAGATCACTGCTAGGGAAGGTCAGCAGACAGATGCATCCAGCCTTGCTATTGGCCTTGTGCTGTGCTAAGAGATGGTCGCCTGTTCAGTTAAAGTCTTCTGTCTTGCTTGTTGTGACTGGGTGATGAGCAGTAGGCCAGCGCCCAGGTCAGATGGGGGAAATGTGTGCGATGTTCTCAGTTGTTGCTAGTGGGGAAGCATACCGTGGGCCTAGTGAGGGGAAAAGACCAAACCTGCTGCTGTACCAGATGTGGTTGTATTTAGGTTTGGGGAGCACTGTGGTGGTGGCCCTGATCGGACTGTCCTGCCCAAAGCCCTGATCCTCAGGCTCCTTAGGTCCCATCGACTGTTGTGTGGAAGGCAAAAGGGATTTTGGCAGGGTGAAATTCTTACGGCTCCTACTCCAGGAGCCTCTTTGAGCATCTTTTCTGAGCAAAATGAGACTGAAAAGCTTGGCAAATGCTTACAGCTTCCTGTTTCTGCAGCTCTCTCCAGCAGCAGTGATGGAGTGGAGAATGCTGTAGCCTGAGCCTCGGCTCTGGGTAGCACCTTGAAGACCCAGGGAAGCGCAGCATGGCTTGCAGCTTGGCGTTTGAACCCAGGGGCTCACCTGGTGTCTGTCAGCAAGGCAGAGTGCTAAGATATTTTGAAGAAAGAAGCAGCTCTGTAGAAAGACAGAAGGGCTTGATTCAGGGCTCTGCAGTCTGGTGTACAGCCCCTGTGGTCTAAGAATGTTGACATTTTTAAAGAGTTATAAAAAAGTAAAATATTATGTGACAGAGTCCATGCAAAGCCTTAGATATTTATGGACAGGCCCTTTACAGACCTTGGCTGTCTGTGCAGAAAGAAGGCGAATTCGAAGGCGTCCTGTGTCTCAAGGATACCTTGGGCCAAACCCTCCCCTCCTCCTAACCCCAGACCTTGCCGACCCCTCCTTGTGCATGTACGTGGGGAGCACAGAAGCTTGCCCGCAGTGCCATCTTACCCTCAGCTGGATCAGCCCGGTTAACCCAGTGAAGCCAGAAAGCATCCAGGGGTCAGCCAAGTTTGGAAAGCAGATGAATGAGTTGCCGTCTTCCATTGGCCAGAACTGGTCCCCCAGAGCAGCTGCTTTAGGGAGCACCCAGGCAGGGACTTCAGGAAGAAGGCTAATTCCTGTTTCAACTAGTGCAGCAAGTTTGGGCAAACACCTTTTCCAAGAACTTTTTCTCCCTGGCATGGTTTTTTAAAAATATGTTACTTTATTTTATAGAAATCTGTTTTCCCATTAGTGTCCATTGAAATCACCTTAAAAGGGGATTATCCACTTATTCCTGAAACCCTGTGGGATTTTCCCCTTCTTCCTCAGCCAACAAAAGTGTATTTTCAAAAAACTTATCAAGTTCAGTTATGTTTTGCCAAATTAAATTTCATGCAGATCAATTTTTGTGTCAAAATAATCTTTTAAATTTGATGATAGGCTTCTGTTGACTTTTTCAACATGTCTGTGTAGAAGAGTGCTATATTTTTGAAAACATTAATTTTGAAAGGTGTAATTTTTCTTGTTCAGTTAAAGAGTGGGGGTGAGGACCCTTATAAGTGGGTCTTTGGCAAATGTACCTTTTTTTTTTTTTTTTGCAATACCAGGGATCAAACTCCAGACCTTGCACTTGTGAGGCAGGCGGCAGCACCACTGAGCTAAATCCCCAGCCTGCCATTAATTTTGGAAAATTATTATTATTTTTTTGCAATACCAGGGATCAAACTCCAGACCTTGCACTTGTGACATAGGCATGGTGCCACTGAGCTACATCCCCAGCCCTGTACCTGTTCTTTTCTAGAAGTGCAGCTAGTATATCTATCAGCATCCAAGCAGACAAGGACACTGCTCCCCGTCATCAGAGCAGATGAAACATTCGTGATTTATTGATGGTTCACACTCTGACCCGAAGGAAAAGATGAAGATTGTTCTTGGAGACTCAGACCCACTGCCTGTAAACATAATGCCAATTTTAAAGTGTTAGATTAGCGAGGCAAAAGCGTTCTGCTCATCTAGGGGCACTTTGGCAGTGATAAAGTCATACTAGCTATCAGGGGGAAATGTTTGCTTCTTAAGATGTGCCACAGGGCTGGGAATTTAGCTCAGTGGTGCCGCCACCTGCCTCGCAAGCACAAGGTCCTGAGTTTGATCCCCGGTACCAAAAAGAAAAAAGATGTGCCACAGCTTGACTGCTCTTTTGTCTATAAACCTAGGTGACAGGGAAAATTCCAAATGTAAGTGGCACAAAAGAGGGACAGGCAGATAATGCACAGATTAATGCTGTACAAGTCATTGATTTTGGTGACTGCCGTCCTCATTGATGCCTGTGTTGATTTAAGGGAAAAGGAACCTTTTCTATTCCCCCTGACGCCCTGTGTATCTGGCTGCTTTTCATCCTTCTACTTGCCTTGATTGATACGGTCTGCCAGAAGTTAGACTGAACTTTTTTGCTACAACCTTGTCTTGCATTGATACAGAAGTTTGTCTTGTCAGGTTTTGTTAAGCTTAAGGGGAAACTGATTGCAGAGAGGAAAGACCAGGCTGCCTGCTGACCAAAATCTAGACAGCGCCTATTTCCATTTCTTTTTCTTAGAGTTATTTTAGAGATCTCTAGCGATGTCCCCAGTTGCACAAACTTTCTAAGAACATGGTTTCTTTCTCTGTGCATTCCCTGCCTCCTTGTTCCCTGTGCAGGGACCCCTGCCTGTGGAGCAGCTCACTGCAGGGTAGCAGGCCTTCTCCGCTGTGCCCTGTGCTCAGTGTATGTTACTCACCAGGTACGCAGAGGCTGCAGTGTCCACACCCCATTCTTCACCTGCTCTACCCACTCTCTCCAGCCCAAAAACATTCCAGTCAGTTCTGAAGCCCTCCCACTATGTCATAGCCCAGAGGATGCCATAGATAGAGTTGAGCATGAATAGAATAGACCTTCAGGGCAATCCTGTACAGTACTTCTGCAACTTGTCTCAGGGCCCAAGGCTGTGAACTCCCCAGGACTGTTTCTCCCCTGCGGGAACAAATACTGCAGCATTTGGTTAAGATCATATTAGGTAACTTAGCCCAAGGCACCAGAAGGGAAGGGAATTGGTTTCTGTTAGCTAGAAATTCTTGGTGCTGGAATTCATTTCACCCAACCCTGCTAGTTAGCTGGCCAACTGGCAGCCAGCACCGCTGCCCCCCCCCAACCCGGCACAAACCTGAGGGCACCCATTTCACCTTTGGTAAGAGAGCTATGTAGATCAGAAACTTGGTGACATCTGGACAGCACAAAGTTGGTTCACTTGTCCTGGTTCCACCCTCCAACTTCCTGCTAATGACAAAGGCTAAATGAAGGTCATTGATTTACTCTTATGCCGCAGCTACTTGCTTTGTTATTGTCTGCTCTGTAATTGAATGAGTCCACTCTGCATGTATATATGTATATATGCATATATATGATTTCTTATGTGCATTATATATATATTGAGTATACACAACTTGAATCAGATTATCATGTGCATCATTTTTGTCATCCACACACCTGCTGTGTCCCCCGAGCTACAAAGGAATCCCCTAGACCCATTTGGAGTAACGCTGCCCAGGGTAGGCCCCAGGTCCATCTGAAGTCACATGGCTGACTTGTTCCTGTTCGGCAGTTGGGCTGCAACTCCGTCCTTCAGCCCCTCTGTGAACTTGGTGTCTTTTTAACTGGACAGCCCGGCCTGTGCTGCCTAGACCCAGGACTTGCTGGATGAGAAGATAGCTGCTCCCCCCTCTTTCCTACACTGTAATTATTGTTTTACAATTGAGTGCCTTAATAATAGTTTATAAATACTGTGTATTTATGCAAAGCTGTAAAACTCATCTTCAGAGATTGGGGACTTTGTCTTGTTCACAGTAGTTGGTATTAGGGCTTGAGTTTGTCCTTCTCCTGACTTGTGTTGATTCTGCTATGCAGTTTGACCTTGTGTGTCCACAACTACTCCAGGGAGCCTGTAGACACAGCACTGGTTGTTCCTGCAGGCCAGGCCGCCATCGCCCTACACTGCATCCCTTGGTAGCCAATGAAAAACGCAGTTTGGTTTGCATCCAGCTGGGGAGTGGTGCAGGCTCGGTGCTCTGCCACTCACCTGTCACCCATCATACAGTTTGTACTCCTGTTTAATAGAGAGAAATCACCACCTAGGGTATTTTATTTTTCTTCCTTGTTAGTGTCCTGAGCTCTTTTGCAACAAAATGTAGGTACAGCTCACTCCCCCTACTCCAGTTAGGAACTCCACCAGACAACTTACTCTTTAGTTTTTCAGAAGCTGCCGCCGGTGGGTTCCCATGTGTTGCATTACAAAGTCAATGATTTTTTAATTGTTTTCTTGTTTTTTATATTATGTATTTAAAAGGCAACATCTTTTGTACTGTGAACTTGCAGTAGAAGATACATAATGCACTTTTTTTTACTTCTGTTGGTTTGTATTGTATATAGTATGTGTGCTTCTTGTGATGAAAATAAACTTTTTCTTTATAAACACTCAGTGACTGTAGCTTTGTTTATTTATTTATTTATTTTTGGTACCAGGGATCGAACTTGGGTCTTTGCGCTTTCAATGACTATAGCTTTGTACAAGAATCTGCCTCTTTGGCCCTTGCCAAGGCAAGTCCAGTACATCATCTTCATCTTCACTGAGCACCTACTATGTGCTAAGCTCTAAGCTCACAAGTCTGGATGAGTTAGACCAAAGAAATAGCCAAAGGAAGAAATGTCCGCTTCTCCCAGGGTGAATCGTTTTCCTTCCAGGTTTTGTGAGTGGTCATTTGTATACCAAAAAAGTATCCAAGTGTACACCAAGGTGGGGCCTGGACTTTGGGTATCTTCTCTTCTGGGCCAGGTAGCCATGGCAAAGCCTGAGGCATGCTCCGGAGGACTGGGGTGCTCGTGTCTGCTCACCAGCTCAGGAAGCCCAGCACGTCTGTCACTGAGCACAGCCAAGACTTGTCTCATGCTCCTGTTACCCCAGGAAGCATTCGATAGCGCCGTCCCGAGGTGTGTGAGCCTCCCACTGCCATGACAGAATACCTGAGATGAGCAGCTAAAAAAAAGAAAGATCTTTCAGCTCCTGGCTTCAGAGATTGCAGTCCATCACTGGTTGGCCCAGTTGCTTTTGTTGCTGTAGCAAGGAGCACATCGTAGAAGCACATAACAGAGGGAAATGCTCACCTCATGGTAGCTGGGAAGCAAGAGACACAGGAAGGAGTTGAGGTCCTTGTGTGCCCTCAAGGCCTTGCCTCCAGTGACCTAACTTCCTTTGGGGAGGCCCCACCTCCCAACAATGCTTTCAGCTAGGGACCAAGTCTTCAACACATGGACTTGAGGGACACTTACAATCCAAACTATAAGGGCTGGGCATGTGGCTCAGTGGTAGAGTATTTGTCTAGCATGTAGAAGGCCCTGGATTCAATCCCTAGTACCATCAAAAAAAAAAAATTAATGTTACAGTGGGTGTGGCCTGGATTACAAATACATAGTGAGTTCAAGGCCACCCTGGACTACATAGTGAGACCCTGTCTCAAAAAAATATCCAAACTATAACATTTGGTGACCCAGGAAGCCAGGTTGCCTTTATTTTAAAGTTCTGCCACCTTAGCTGACTGGTGGCTCATACATAATACTAGTGTTCTGGGAGGCTGAGACAGGAAGATTACAAGTTCAAGCCCAGCGTGAACAGTTTAGGAACCCTGTCCTGAAAAATAAAAAAAGGAAGGTGGAGATGTAGCCAAGCATAAAGACACTGGGTTCAGGCTCTAGTACGGGGGAAGTGGGGGAGAGATGGAGGGGTGTTTTCACTCTTACTGCCTTTGGTATAGTACATCACTTTCTCAGATTCTGGTGGAGGAAATTTAAGTCACATGATCCCAACCCAACAGCCATGCAGGCTGACTCAGGATTTGGTGAGCACTTAATGCATGACCCAAGTACTGGAGCAGAACCACTAAATTCCATTCCACGGATCCAAAAAGTACTCTCTGATTCATCTGGACTTTCTCTGTCCCTCAGCTGGATTTACAAGAGACTGATGAATAAACCAGAGTGTAAGTTTATTTCCTTATAACCATTACAACAAACGTCCAAATTAATACAGTCTTAGGTAAATACACATGTGAAGCCAATTTTGGGCTAGAAAGTACTAAGTATGAAATTAAAGCAGAAGATTAACAGGATAAATCTAACAGTGCTCTCAAACTGTAACACAGCCCCTGTCTCTGGTTTTTGTTTTTTTGTTTTTTGAGACAAGGTTTTGCCATGTAGTTCAGGAACTCTCTGTGTAGCTCAGGCTGCCCTCAACCTCGTGGCGATCCTCCTGCCTCAGCCTCCTAAGTCCTGGGATCACAGGCCTGCATCACCACACGAGCTCTGTAGAACATTCTGAAAACACACTGAGGGCCACGAGTGGGTCAGGAACTCTTCTTGGCAAGGCTAGAGATAGCAATTCTCTTTGAGTTGCAAACATGAATCTGGCCTGGGGATAGGGTCCACCATTCTGTATGTTTCTGGTAGATTCCCTGGAGATTCTGATGGCCTAGTTTAGAGGCCAGAGAAATAAGAATGTGATGCAATGAAGTAGGCTTACACTTTGCTGATCACAATCACATTCCAT